TCTCTCTCGACACACAAACACACACATAGCCATATCCCACATCGGACAAAGGTCACAACGCTCTCTGGGGGACAAAGGTCTAAAAGGGTGTGTTTGTGTGTGTTGCTGTGTTTGTGTGTTCGTGAGTGTGTGTGTGTGCCAAGACGAGTCCTTCTCAGTCTGATTTACCTTCACTCAGGTTACTTGACAAATGAAAGCAAACAGCGAGGAGTTCATGTGTGAAGCCTGGATGGCATCAATCTCTCATGTGTACACAAACACCCCCACACACACTCACACAGATATGTAATTACTTGTGGTGATTTTCCCAGCTTTAAGTGAGGACACAAGGAGACCTCAAGCATTTGCACTATATACACACTTTACTTAAATGTGTACTTCTTTATCAAATAATGAACACCATAAACAAACCACAAGGAATAGTCCTCAGAGCTAAGGCTAATACTGGTCCTCCCAAAAATAGAAGTACAAGAACACACACACACACACACACACACACACAACCACACACACAAGGTACAACAAACAAACAAACGTGTTTTACAAAACATCAACCAACTTTGTTAATTTATCAAAATGATCAACTCATGCCTGACATGAGTGAGTACACCATTTAAAAAAATCCTGGCTGCAGATGAATGGTAAAAAAAAATACATCCAATGTCTTCTTCACAACTTTTCTTGACCTTGTTGGAAAACACCATAAGGTCAAAGATGGTGCTAAAAGAATCCAAATGCATACTAGGCTGTTTAATGATGCTACGAATGTGATTGACATCCATTGCTTTAAAAGGTCGTCAAGGCGTGTAGGACAGAGAGTGAATACACATACTATACAGAGATGCTGTATGAGAAACCAATGTGAGTTTGGAAAATTGGACAATATCAATACCTCAACAATGGAATTATGATCAGTAGAAATGGCCATGACATGGGACCTTTAAATGTTTCTGCTGCAAGGAATTGTGATAAAACATTGTCTCCTTCCTTTGGTGAAGTAATGTCCATTACCCTTTGCTAAAGGAGATAAGAAAGGAAGCATTGAAGCCCATTTCCTGTCCATGGCTGACACTTGAAACGGTGACGGTAAACGATCTGTAGGTTTTGATTTGAAAGGATTAGTTAGGACTCACCAAAGTAACACCATACCACAAACAAACATCTTGATCTGAGGTAACATTTCTGTTTTTATCAAGAGTCTGGTGGCTTTGAAAATATTGATGTAACGGCCCTTTAAGGTTGAGTTAAGAACAGAAAACGTAATTATTTTCAACTTCTTTTATTTATGTGAAATGTCTTTGTAGTCCATGTTTATTCACCCAAAAAAGGCAAGTCACCAACTGTACAAAGTTTAGCCAAATCGTTTAAATTTAGCATTTCTCTGGTTTTACTCTTCGATGTAAATGATTGAAGTTTTTGCAAATGTTGAACCATTTCTAATCTTATGGTCTTGTCATTGGCTGAACCAAGACTTTCTCTGTTAAATCCACATCTGTATATTTGAAAAGAGCGATAAGGGCGGACAAATCCCTGTGCACATGGGACTTTCCATTGACACTCTTTCTGCCTCTAAACCCCTCTTTGGGCTCAGCCTGAACACACCTTTAGGCTATTTACTTACAAATGATGCAAACTTTACTATAGAATCTTTTTCTTCCAAAGCATACTTTAGATTGTGTGGCAGCTACTTTCATGTCCACTGCTGCATGAAAATCAACATGCAGAGACATGGAGCCTGTTTGAGTGGGGTGATCCGTCACAGTGACAACAAAAGCAGACGTGATGTTTGTTCAGAGTTATGTTACCGCTGTGTCAGACTGCTTTTAACAATGTTTTTACAATCAATCAGTATTTACCTCTGGCTCTCCAAGTTGTTTTTAATGCGATTGTGAAATGAATGGAAACTAGGAGTTGCCTGGAAGGGAAGAGGAAAAGATTTAAATGTCTAAAAAGAGAGTATAGGTTAAGTGACGCATTTATTTAATTCTATAACTTAATAGAAACACCTTTCAAATGAAAAGATGAACTGAAAAGCAGTGCAAGAAAATCTTGCTCAATTGAAAAAACCCAGCTACACTTTTCAATTTCTGTAAAAAGTTGCAACTGCAAAACAAAACAATGGTCACTACATCAATAAATGCAAATCCTCTAGAAGAGCTTTGGAGCTGAAATTATAACCTATAAACGTACGGGTGAATCAAAAAGAGAGTTATCATTTGTCACCGTTTCTATGGATCTTTTGATGCTTTTTTCTCTATGTTTCTATATAAATGATAGTCAAATGCTTGTTCGTATGTGCATTTTTTAACAGTAACATTTCAAATACTGAATGGGTAATCAGCAGAGAAACTAAACTACTGTCAGCTTCAGATATCAGAGTTGTTAGGTATCAAAGCCTTTTTGAAACAACATCTGTTCCTCTGTGGTTTCATTTCACCTCCCAGCTCATACAGGTGTCTACAGGTGTCCACACACACACACACACACACACACACACACACACACACACACACACACACACACACACACACACACACACACACACACACACACACACACACACACACACACACACACACACACACACACCTCTCTGTTGATAACACGGTGACAAATTGAATAATGTTTAATTGTATTTGATTCAATCAAATGATAGTAAACTGAATGTTGTGTGAAAACAGTTTGTTTTTTCATTGAGATAATCCGGCACCGTTTTGTCCCTTAAATGCCAATCATGTTTGTGTCCCTCTCTAACCACAGATTAACATAATAATACTGTAGCATATAACCAAATATCCTTACCTGTAAATGAAACTTCATCAGCTGAAAATATAATAGCTTTTCGATTTAGTTAGTTATTTGTCACTGATTTGAGGTTTCAAAAATCAAGATAGACTTGACCTTCATGATTCATGACCACAGGAAGCCCATAATAATATAATCAGTCAAATAAGTCAATAAAACCTAATCAGGAGGAAATGGCTTTTCACTAAGGCTGCAAGGAGATTATTATAAAATCATTTAATTTCATAAAACAGCAGCTGAAGCAGTGAGGATTAGTTTTCTGTTGGTAGTTGAATCAATTGATTTCACATGTTTTTGTAATAAGAATACACATTTATTTTAAGACTTTCTGTAATTGGGTAAAAGTTTAATTAGCAGCTAGTCACTTGTTGAGGTTGTTGTTGGTCTCCTGGAGGAGTTTGGAATCATGACCTCAGTATTTAAAAAAAGTCCTGGGTATGACCCTGCCTGCAAACTTAAGAAACAAAATGTATCCTGGTTTCTGTTTGATGATTCCCTATTAGCACTCTGTTGAAGCCTAGGGAAGCTATGGTCCTAAGCCTCATCGGGATTGATTGGAGAAACACGTTTTTAATACGGATTTGAGAAGGGAAAAAAACAGTGGATCTACCCTTTAACATTGACAAAAGCACACAGACAATCTGCTCGACTCAAACCTGCTGAAAGCTTGGACAAGGCCAAACGAGCCTCTGAACAAGCGGGTCACTGGGAACACTGGGGCCCTGCCAGCTTTTGTGTAGCAGCTCGCTAAATATCAGGGGGGACTGTGTGTGTGTGTGTGTGTGTGTGTGTGTGTGTGTGTGTGTGTGTGTGTGTGTGTGTGTGTGTGTGTGTGTGTGTGTGTGTGTGTGTGTGTGTGTGTGTGTTGGGAGAGCAGAGGCCCAGTCCTTCACTCTCCTGTGACCGTTGTCCACCTCCCCCCTTCTCCACTCTTTTTCTTTCCTCCGTCCTCTTTTTCTCCTTAAACTGTCTTTTGTTTTCATTTTCGTTGGCATTTCTGCTCCGTCGTTGTTCGAGTCCTAAATGAGTCTTGACTGGCCCGCGGGCCATTGGAGAAGCACAAAGGACTTCGTTCTACTCGCTACAGTTGATCCATTGTGGGCGTCCCACAATGCACTAATTGGCGATGACAATTAAGCGTGGTCGACACTCAGCTTCAATTTGCCTGCTGCTCGACATACATCACAGGCGAGGCCGGATTCAGCCTGTGAGCTCGCTGCTCTCTCAGACAATATGCATATTCACCCAGCAGGTTTACATGCACTTTTTATTCACATGAAGCTGTTTTTTCTCGCAGCTCAGTTGGAGGCTGAGCTCATTACTTGACAACCATCCGCAAACTGACACGTTACCGTTTGTCGTCTCAGCAAAAATGTGAGCTGGTGTGTTAGTTACATTTTGACCCTTTGGAACAGTTGATAAACAGCCTCACGACAAGGTCTGTTTAGTTGTCAATCAAATCATAAATCATTGTGGGAGAATGTACTTAGAGCTTGCAACGTGCAATGCTAAGATGTTGATGTCAATGAATATATTTATTTGAATGAATAAAAAAGCTAAATGAAATAAATAAGCAGGTTTTAAAACAGATTTCAGAAGGTGAACAAAACTGTGGATCTACAAAAGGACACCAGAGCGTTGAGCTAAATGCTAATGCCATGCTAACATGCTGATGCGTAGCAGCTTTAATGATTACCATGTTAACCAACTCAGTTTAGCGTGTTAGCATGCTAAAATTAGCAAACTATATATAACACAAGTAGGCTACAACAGTGTAGTTTGGCCTGAAGTATTGGACCAAAGAGATGATTATTCAGGAGAGCTACATTAATGTGGTTTACCAAAAGTCATGAAATGGCTTCAACTTTGTAGGGGAGCATGCAACTATACCCACATAAGCTTGAATTAATAAAAACCCAGTTTTATGGTGAACAAATACACATGTAAACATTATTCAAAACCTTTCATTCACTCACCGCTCAGTATTTTGACTTTGCCAAGACATTTACTCCTGTACATAGACACTATTTGTAGCTAGTGCTGTTATTTTGCCAATGCAAGCCGACACCACATGCTTAAAATCCGTTTTACTAAAATAAACCTGCAGAGCCGTATGAAAGCCGCAGAAATCGAAGGAAGTCAAACCCAAATGGTCTCAGCCAAACAATATAAACATTTCTCCACAATTCAAACACTTTCACTATTAAGAAGTTTGTTTTTATTGGCATCAGTGGCGAGCAGACAAATTTGAACAAAACCAGGACAGGAGGATTAAACGAAACAATCAGCTCCCTGTGTTTGCATAAGAAGTTTGGCTGCAATGAAAAGGAACAATGAAAATAATAGAAACATAATAACTTAAAAAGTGCAAAAGAGAGATGAATTTCAGTCCAGTTATTCTGCTTAAATACTGTACAAATTGTTTTTCTCCAAATACGTCAAGTAAAACATACTGCCATGATCGAAATGTGCCTGAAACATGTACATTTATGTACTCGTTGATTTGTCAAAAACATTGTGTAACTGAAAGGATAGAAAACATAATAGGTAAACATCATTCACAACATAGTTATGATTCCAAATCCAGATGGAAATTGGCAAATGTGTAGGAGGGACAAACAAACCATACTGCATATAACAAGCAAAACATGTTTCAGTTTGAAAGTAATCAGAAGCACATTTATACACATCTAATGCAGCGACAGAGAGGCAGACTACAGAGCCCAGCAGGAAGTGGAAAACATCCATATTCTGTAGCACGAAAACTATTTGTCGTCAAAAGTTTGGTACAGTTTTACATAGGGTTACATTGTGAACAAAATATGTCCTCACACATTCTAATGAGATCTACGTGTTATCACATGCATCATTTCTAAATAGCAAATTCCACAAAAACACAAGTTTACATTTTTATAAAGTGGTCCTTTAAAAATGTATCCAGATTATCTAAAGCATTCACTTTCGGAGCTAAAAGTGAATTTATACAGATATTTTAAACTTTGTTTGAAGGCACGTTTTACTCTACTATAATAGGACTACAACTGCCTGCAGTACTTATTGCATAAAGTGTTGAGCTCGGGCCAGTCTCAAGTAGTTTAGGTAATTTTCTCTGATTGTGATTAAGATTAGATCAGGAGGGCCCAAGCAGCAGCCATTTTGATGTGTACTGTTTCCATTGCGAACATCTAATCGATGTGCACAAATCAAATCACAAAAACAATCCCTGAATCTTGCTGGGCTTTGCAGTACACACATGAACAGCATGATTTAGAGAGCAGCCACAGAACACAGAACAAAATAACAATAATTCTCCGTCAACATATACTGCATATCAACAATACTTCACCATCCTTTCACCAGCTCTTTATGCAGCAGGCAGTAAACAATAACTTAAACATGACATGTGTGGTATCCCCTGTTTTACCTTCAAAACAAACGTAACAAAAATATATAAACTTACACATCAGTGCACTTTACCTGCCATATTTTAAACTACGCTGGGTTATTTAGTTTTAGTCTACAGTACCCTACATGCTTCATTAACATGAATCAGTCTGATCACAAAAATACATATTCAGGAATAAACCTGCAAAGCTCCTTCGTTTATAAATGTACTTCAAAGTTGACATGTTTGTATGGCTTAAACGAGTTGGGAACATGGGGATGAGGAAAGAACAAGCACAGACAAAAACATGCCCTTCGATTTCTCAGAAGAGAAGATGCAGGTAGAAAAAGCAGAAACATTTCCACCCAAATTTGAGGCAGCACTTTAAGAGTTTCTGATTGGAGCAAAACTGAATTCTGTCTGTAGAAGAAAAACATATTTATCTTTTCTTTTAAACTACTTTATAGGCTTCTTCAATAGTATTAGATCCAACAAAAAACACAATTGATTTGAACCTAAATTAGCTTTCTTTTATAATATTTCTGTATTTCTTTTTCCCAACAGTTCAGTACAATGAGCTCAAACAGGATGGAAATGCAGCTGCTAGGTTCAAACACAAAGTGTATTTCAACCTTTAACACATGAAAGCAGTGGGTAATAAAGGCCATCTAGGTTGCATAGAGATACTAAAAGCTAAAGCTGCTATCATGTCTGATGTCTGTCATGAATAAAGCACAACAGGAAGTAGAATCACAGAGGAAGAGCGGGGGGGAAAGAATAAATGACAGTAGATTATTGCCCCTGGTATTTTACAGTTGGACTGAAGAAATGTGCTGACAGTCCGACCCTTAAGGTAAAGTCTGTTTACATGTAACAAGAAAACAAGTAAACATCTTTCATTCCACATCTGCAAGAAGAATGACTCAGTTTAAGGTTAGTGAGAATATGATCTGATGAAAGGCTGTAGGGATTTCTATATTTAAATCAGAGCGATCATTTATAACTTTTATTATTATTGGTTAACATATCCCTATAATGGCTCCAGTTACATCCCATGTGACCCCCCCCCCCCCTTCCCAAAAAAACACTTCAAAATGACTCTTATAAGTTTGGATTCAGTCGGTAACGATTCATTTAAATGTTGACACCTTGTCACAGTTTGAAATAAAGTAATCAAAACGTCACATATGAAACTGTCCCAGCAGCATAATCCACCTTGACCTTTAAGTACTAATATGCTGTCCAAATACAACTTAATATAAACTTGGTTATCCAGCCTGTTTGTCTGGATTAATGACCACTAAATATACATTTGACTACTTATTTATTATCAATTCATCTGTTGGTTTCCAACACATTCCCATTATCACATTTTGCCTAGGATTTAGTTAGTCATAATCCCACATAAAAAAACATTAGTCATCTTCTCACTCATCAACTTCGAGTCTCCTGAGCTCTCACTAATGCAGGAAACACATTGGATTCCTTACATGTAAAGTGAAACAGTGGATTATGCTGCAGGTTGGAGAAGCTTCTCTTGATGTTCTGAAAACTGATTAAAGGAAAGGCTCATTTCTTCAACTCTGTATTGAAACAATACCCGTATGCTCATTGAAAATGCTCCTGTAATCAGGCCTCCTGTTCATAGTGGCCATTCCAATATATGCATATATAATGCAAGTGATGTCCGCAGTCTGCATAAAAGTTTACTTTAAACTTGATTTGAATACAACATGACTCTTCAGTCGTTTGAGTTCATCAAATCAAGTGTATATCTTCTAAAGTTATAGCTTTTTCCTTCTACAAAATGTTCCTTATGTTTATAAACTGTGGCCGTTACAGAAAAAGGCATTTCAAACTTAAACATTGTAATTTTGGAAAATACAAACTTGAATGACTGTCTGTTAAAGAACTGACTGGCTGTTAAAGCCACCAATTCATACACCTTCAATACATTTGGCCTAAAACAAGAACACTAGATGTTGTCCCCCCCCCATCACTTACATTCAAATCATTTTAGAAAAAATAACTATTTCACTGGACAGTATGAACAGGAGGAAAGATCTCAACAACAAAACCAGTTGTTTTTTTTGGAAGAAGGGAACTAGAAACTCTTTACAGCCACTTTAATGCTACAATGTGTCAGAGTTTAAAACTGAAATAGGTTTTTCGATGGAGTGTTCCTTTAACATGATTATTAGTGAAAATTATTATTATTTTCATCACAAATGAATCACTTTATTTCTCCATAAAATAATGAGTCTGTAAACAATGACAAAACACCTGATCGTGATTAGCTTATTTGGTCAAAAACCAAAAGAAATCTTCACATTAGGGGACTCAAACGAGAAAATGTGTTTTGGCTTTTTCAAAAAGAATGAATCAATTGCTAATTTTGTTATTTACTTTTCTCCCCATTGACTTATGTTTTCACCACCTAAATTGTGCTGGAAGAGTTAGAATAACTCATCGAACTAACGTCTCCAGATTACCACCTGTGTTTAGAATAAGGAACAAATGAAAGGGGTGACGATGATGGACGATGACCTTGACGTGGGTCATCTCGTGTGAGGCGTGGTGCAGCAGTTCTTCAGATGGTTTCCTCCCTGCTCTTTGCAGCAGGACAAAGAGGTTGAGCTCCGGTTATCAAAATCCAACCTGACGGTGCATCAGACTCTGAGCTCCGTCACAGAATCTGTCCTGGAGAAACACACGGATCAGAGGAGCAGGCACTTGGTCCAGCGCTGTGTCCCTCAGCCCCCTGACTGTCTCTGCTTCAGTACCGTGAGTCTCAGGTGTCTTGGTACGGCAGGTGGAAGCTGTCGTCGTCGGGGGACCAGAAGGAGGACGGCCTCTTGTGGTGGAGCTCTCTGTGGACACAGCGGGGACACGGCTGGGCCTTCTGCCGACACTCGGTGTGGAACACAGCGCCGCAGCCCACACACCTGAGACAGAGGACAACACACAGGTGAGTCAGAGCTTTTTGTATTAAAATACTTTTTTCATTTCAGTTTGCCAAAATGACATATAAAAGAAGTGCTCATTTCTTAAGGTTAAACCGTACACCCCAGCGCGTGCACTACGCTCTGCATCAGCCAAACGACTCGCTGCACCCTCGCTGCGAGGGGGACCCAAGTTCCCATCAGCAAAAACACGTGGGTTTGCTGTCCTGGCTCCAAGATGGTGGAATGAGCTCCCCATTGACATCAGGACAGCTGATAGCTTACACATCTTCCGGCGCAAACTGAAAACTCATCTCTTTCGACTCCACTTCGAGCGATAGAACTATTAACGAAGCACTTTTATACTAATAAAGGACTGGCTTACCTAAAGCCAGTTGAGTAGCACTTGAAATGTTTTGGCTCTATGAAACCCGATGTACTTATATGATTCTGTTTTCTTCAAGGTTGTGTCTTCCTGGTCGAATGTACTTATTGTAAGTCGCTTTGGATAAAAGCGTCAGCTAAATGTAATGTAATAAAAAAAAGACTAAAACCACTTAATGTAAGAACTCTTAAATTAATTGTTTGAAAAAATCCCAAGTACATTTTCTGATATGCTAATGTATATAAACTAACTCCAGATGGGCCTCTTGTATAGGATTTTAAATGTATTGCTCTTGTTTTTTCAAGGCCATTTTTTAGAATCACTTATTTCTACCATATGCATTTTAAATATGGTACACACATCTATCTTTTAAGTACTAAACACTCAACCCTTGCAGAGTTAAATTGGTCAAAGAGAACTTGGAAGATAAATAAACCAGACTAAAACTAATTGGAAATAAACATAAATGTTGTTGCAATGTATATGATTTTCAGTCACAACTTGTCACAAATTTCATTAACTCTTTATACTTTTAGTAAGAATGTCAAAAGATAGATTTAAAAAACATATTTTGATAAAGATTTCATTTTGTCAACTGAAACTCCTAATATATTAATTTTTCAAAATGAAATGAGACTAAAACCAAATAATAAGTCAACCTTTGACTTAAACTATGATGCAATGTATGACCTTTTGTCATTTAAGACGACAATAATGTGAAAAATGGAAAATGGTACTTATTGTTTAGATTTAGATTGTTTAGCAAAGTCTTGTTCAATGACCAGCATGCATCAGCCAACTGAATATGCTTTATTATTAATGTGCTCCTGTCCGCTGTTCACTTCCTGTGTCTAATGTCCTGCAGCGTCTGAGGCCTCGGCTCAGTTCCAGTAAGTATGGTACATACAGCCGTTATCAGTTAACACTTCACACTTCCTACACAGGTCGTAAAACACAACTCAACAGGGAAGGTGTGCGAGTGTGTGTGTGTGATAGTACACACTGTCAGTGTTTCTCCTAGGAATCAGTCCTGATCCTCTCTTATCTGTCTGCTGTCTGTCTCTCACAGTTTCAGTGACAAGACAAAGCTCTGGACTGTGTTAACTGTCTGTGGTGGGAATAAGTGTCCACGCACACACACACACACACACACACACACACTCAGACACACACACACTCAGACACACACACACACTCATCATGCAGACCAGTGTCACTGACAAGCAGCAGAGACGCAGGGAAAGTACTTTCTCACGTTCACAGGACTACTGAATGCAAGTAGTTAAAAAAAATATAAATATCAATAAATTATGTCAAAAACAAAAATGTAATTTTAAAGGAATAGTATAGTATGCCATAAAACAGTTTCTAAAAATAAAATGTGAAAAAATGTAGGAATCTAGAGTATTTTCATTAAAAGAAAAGCAAAAATATTGCATACCATATATGTCATACCAAGTTTCATAAATAAATATCGAAGTACAGTGTCAGAAATTATTTTAATGTATGTCATTAAAACGTCAAAGTATAACACCGTAAAAACCAATCATGATGTAGTATATCGTGAAAAGAATAACCGTGTGCACTGGCTGTCGATTCATCTTTGCTTGCTGTATCTGCAGGGCATCATATGTTGGAGAAACTGATCCATCAGCCCTTTGACCAACATGTCTGGATCTCACACTTAAATATATCCTCAGCAATACAGAAGAACACAACTCAACAGGGACAGAGCATGCAGAAACATATTCTCCACCTGAGGGCCCGTGGCAGAAATAAAAAGATGTCTATACATTGCAGACTTCATGTCCTCTCTGCTGCACTGTGAGTCTCCCCATGGCTATAATGAATATAAATAAAGCATATCGGCCTCCAGAGAAATATATTTTTTTCATAGGAATGTTTTGCTTTAAAGTGGACCTATCATGCTATATTTGAAACATATATTGTAGGGCCATACCTATGTCTGGTATTTAAAAAAAGAAACTTCACAAACAGTTCACCCATTGTAGCCATGCCTCATACTGCTCAAACCCCTCTTTTGAAGCCCTGTTAGAGAAACGTGGATTTTGGGTCCTTAGCTTGAAAAAGAAAGAAAGAAGAGGAGGCGGAGCTAATGCCTGATCATCTGTTTAAACCACGCCAAGGATTATTTCTGAAACAGTATGGAGCTCAAATGCTTTTTCTCTTGGGGTTTATCACAAGGTGAGTTCTTTTTTTATTTCCTGCTTTTTAAAAAACACATGTGCTCTCCAGTACAGGTTAGCTCTGAGTGTTAGCGAGGCTTGCTAATGTAAACAAAGACGTCCAAAACACGTCAGGCATTGTTTCTGATAGCAACTTTCTGTGGGTCCGCTGACGTCACCTCGGATGGAAATCTCATCTGTATCCGCTCGTTGTACACCCGTTTTTAAAAGATTTGGGTACGGAGAAAAAGAGAGGGTTTTATTTTCTGACGCTGCGTGAGTCCGCCGACACACCGGGGACACATATTTATGTATAAAAGACATCACAAAGTGCATTTTGCATGATAGGTCCCCTTTAAAGTATACTCTCATAGAGAAATGCAAGGATCTTGATTCAACTCATTGCCTTCTAAAGAACAGGATTTCTCCAGAACCATTTGAATGTCTGCAATGGAAGGACACCGATCCAGAAATGTTGCTGATCTTCAGGGTGTTTATCGCCAATTAATGGGTTTATTCAACATTTCTCTGCTAAATCAAATGTACTGGGAACTTCTCTCTTCTTGTCTGTCACCCCACTCGATCAAGTCTTTTCAGATCAAATACAATCTATTCTATCTATATTCTATACTCAATGAAGTGAATGTTAATATTGTTATCTATGTTTCTCTGTACCTCCTGGTGGCGTTCTCCTGGAACGGGTAGATGACCTGCTCGTTGTGGCAGAGCTCACAGATGAAGCCTTTCTCTCGACACAAGCTGCAGCTGAAGACGTGGGAGCTGGCGAACTTTATCACCTTGGACAGAAAGGGAGCCAGCTTCCCATCAATCACCTGGAGGGGGGAGGAGAGGGGAAGAAAGAGGGATGGAGAGGAAGAACAGAAGGAAGGACATGGTCAACAACAACAAACAATTAAACATGTACCCACATCAGCTCTCTGCTAAAAGTACGTGGGACCAATGAGTGTACTGTAGAGGAGACAATCAAGAGGTCTAGATAGTTTGAAGGCTTTTTAAAAGGATTTGTGATCAAAATAAGTGACCAACTTTTAACAGATATGTTTTAATCTAATGTTATTTTGAAGGATGATACCTTGTTGTAATATTGTTGGTTTTATCAAATCCCTAAGTTTGTATTAATGCACATATTTCTTTATTTTCCTTATACTGTGAACATTTCCCCTCTTCATTTTAAACTCTGTACAGCCCAGTTATTTCGAGAATACATATACTTATATACATGTACTTGTTTTCTTTTCTTTAAAGGTCCCATGTCATGGCCATTTCTACTGATCATAATTCCATTGTTGAGGTCTACTAGAATAGATTTATATTGTGCAATTTTCCAAACTCGCATTGGTTTCTCATACAGCATCTCTGTATAGCATGTGTATTCACTCTCTGTCCTAAACAGCTTGTTGGAGCTCCTGCCCCCCCCCCTCCCTGTGAGCCCAGTGGCCGTCTGTGAGACAGCAAGACACAGCGAAACCCAGCCCGAAACACACACACACACCCGCAGCCTGGCTGGGACTTTTTGTGTGTGCTCAGGCTGAGTTCCGCGGCATCTCGCTGACCCCACACCAGTGAGCCAGCTCACACTGTCCGCTCCTTGCAGCAGCGAGCCTTGCAACGTCCCGCCGAGTGTGTGTGTGTGAGGAAGTCCGCGGATTGGTCCAAACGTAACGGCTCCGTTACGTTACGTCACTATACCCAAATACGTCACTATACCCAAGAAGTAAACAATGGAAAAAGACAAATCCCCAACGAGGCGTTCTGGGGCAGCATGGACATGTCTTTTCTGTGTTAGAGTTTTACTCGCTACAGGGTGTACTTTGAGGGTTTGTGACTCTGCAGACCGTTTACATGCAGAAAAACCTTCATAACACGGGACGGGTAATAACCGGAAAAGCATGACATGGGACCTTGAACATATTTTGACCGTTCTGCACCAAAACACTTATTAAATGTATGTGAAAAGCAACCTTGCAATGAACCTTATTCTGAAACAATAGGATTTGTGCAGAGAAATTACATATGGATTTCCTGGTAGGTTTTGACATCAGCTAAAAATGTTATTATAAGATTTAAAGAAAATAAACCTCTATGCGAATCGCTGTGCGTTGAGACAGGAGGAGAGGAAACTGAAGGAAGGAAAGAGGAAGACAGTGTAAACGCCTTTTAATGGCAACGCTTGGCAAGTTCCTTTAAGAACTGAGACGGGGGTTTTACCGGTGGGGGGGCTGGAGTTGTATTGTAATGAATAGACAGTAGATGACTCAGAGAAAAAACAGTGAAAGAAAAGCTGTGCAGAATCTTAGAGAAATTAAACTCAATATGGTCGCAAAGCCTTTTTGTATCATGTTTATAGAGCAGACAGAATGTAACAGCGGGAAATAAAGTAAGAGGAAGAGTGGTAGAGATACAATATACCAGAGAGATCTTGAGAGAGAGCGAGAGCCTGTATTCAGATACAAGTGGTTCCACCTGGCAGAGCTCTGGACCTCCCAATTATAACCTCCTTCATGCTGTTTGTTACACGAGAGGACAAGAGGAGGAGAGGAGATGGAGAGGAGGAAGAAACCACACACAGAGGAAACATGGAGGCATACTGATCCTGTTTACAGAACATCATACTGGGGGATTAAAGGCCTACACTGAAGACTGTTGCTTTGACTTTAGTACAACCTATGATATCAAGTTATCAGAGACAGACCAACATAAGTCTGATGTTTTAGAACAATATCTCTAAAAACAAGATTTATTCCAGGCAGTCTCTGACGCGACTTGTTTGGCTCGACTTCCAGAGTCAAAAAGATTAGGCCTATTGCCTTTGTTTGTCAGCAGGATAATAGAAAAAACTACTGGCCCAATGCCTTTGAAACTCGGAAATTGGAATTGAAAAGATTGGAGAGTAAAGTTATATATTATGGAAACGTATTTTATGTTGTTAGCAAATGCCAGGACATGAGAAAACATGCAATGCACAATGCAAGAAAAAAAGTCCCCATTTTATTCTAAAGTATTACGGATGCTGTGTTGCCATCTGTAAGATTTTTCACATTTGGAGAGTGGAGCCATGATGTCGAGTTCCCTGCCCACACACCTGCCCAAGCCACACCATGAGTAATGTCGTAATGCGAGTGATGTTCACACCTAATGTGACGTTACTTTAGTTTAGCTACAAGAAAATTCTATAGGTCAGCTATAAATGAAAGAAATGTCTCCATAATGCAATTCAGGGTGTAGTATTTGCTGTTTTCTTTGTGCTTCACATTGTTGGTCAGACAAAAAAGCAATTTGAAGACATCATCTTGGGATATGGTATTAATACTTTGTCATTTTATGGACTGAACAATAAATTGATTAGTTGAGAGATCAATTGAAAATGTACATAGTTGTATGCTCAAGATGAGCCTCTTCATGCACAAGCAGGTGTTTAAATGTTATGACTACCTTTACTCACAGGTGTGGTTTGTTTGAAAACAATTTGTGAGTAGGCTTAGTTCATAGTTTTTTATTTTCCATTCACACTTTGATGAACAAGGACGCTAGTGTGTGTTGAGATCCAAACATTTATTAAAATGGTCTCTCAGATATGTAGGAAATGTCTCAAACTATTTTCTTTAGGCTGTCTGAATACAGATAATGTAGATATTTTGTGTAGCTGTCCCCAATCGTTTGTCCTTCTATATTTGAGAACAAGCTCGGTCGGGACAGATGATAAAGGCTTCATGCAGACGGACAGATATATGTGTCCCCACACTAAACGCTGCTCAGCCCTGCTCAGCCCTGCTCAGCCCTGCTCGGCCCGGTCCACATGACAAATGGCTCTCCTGATGGATGCTGACAGCCTCAGTAATTAAGGCTTCTATAATTGGACTGGGCAGAATGAAACACTGGCAGCACAGCTCTGCTCTGGAGGGACGGTGGGAAGAAAGAGGGCAGCGCAGAAAGATGGATGGATGGATGGATGGAGGGGGACAGAAGTAAATGGACAGGTGAAATAGGGGATATGGAAATATAAATTAAACAACTTCTTGATTGATTGATCTCACATTATAAACCCTAAATTAGTCAGAAAAGACGGCTTTATTCTACTTAATTCACAAATCCTTTTACCATTATTTTCCTCAAATTATTTGGTATATCTGTTACTATTGCTTGCTATAAATATCCATCGACCGTTTCATTTCCTACATTAAAAACCCACAGCAATTCTAGCCAGGAGGGCCACACCGGGACAATCACTCAGAGAGGGTGACAACAGCAACCCATTTGTTTTTTATACTTGCTCACACCCAACATGGACAACAATGAATCCAAATATTGATGGCTGTCCTGAGAGTCTGGGCCGCCCGCCCGCTGGCAGATCCTTTAATGGAGTTCAGGGTTGGCTAGTTCGGTCGAACTTTAAAAAAAATCCTGGATAGCCTTTTCTCTTCTTAAAAGATCAAAAACATATTGAACTATTTGATAAAGTAAAAGACCTCTTTGGTTGAGGTCAGGTTTTCACTCAGAAACTGATTTTCTGTGTGGGAATCCCACCATGAAAAGAGTTCAGAACATCTGCCTTATGTCCACTCTGAATGAATTACGACATCAGTTTAAATGTGCGTAATCTTTGCGGTCCTCCAGATGCGGCGGAAACACAAACAAGAATGCACAGAGTTACACGTTTAGTTCCTGAGTTTAGCTCCTGTGGTTCAATTGTTCCTGAAACTGAGAAGAGCTGTCTGAAATGTCTCATTTGGGAACAATCCAGACTTGCTGTAATTTGCATTGTCAGTCTGAGCTGCTAACCAGAGCAATGAGACCGAACATCAGCACAAAGACAGTGTTAGTGACAGTGTGAACTTCTAAAAACACTATGGAGGACAAACACATTATATTTTAACAAGGATTTAAACGTAAAATGATGTGCAAAACAGCACTGTCATCATTATTTTTTTTAAAGAACAATGTGGTTTTTGCAATATTCAATATATTATTCAAGAGCAGTCTACAGGAAAAATACCCCTTTTTCCCTCCAAACACCCCCCCCCCCCACACACACACACACTTCACCTCCTCTCCCTCCATCCATCCTCTTAAACTCCGCCCCCTCCAGTTCAACCTCTTTTTCTGCTCCATGCAGAGTCTTTGTGCTCCAAAACCTCCTAATCCCCTAAAACTGCTGTTTAACAGCCGCTCGCCTGCCCTCCTCTCTCTCTCCGTGTCACACACACACACACACACACTCACAGACTACCACAGCTCCATTGAGGAACTAGAAATCCAGCTGGGATTACATGGCTGGAAAGACCAGACTCTCTCTCTCTCTCACACACACACACAAAACATGATGTATGTTGGTTGTCAGTATATACATGCTGGAGTCAGTCATATCAGAGGGTTCCTTACATTTGTAAGTTACTGTACAGATGAGATGATGGACGCATTTCTACTGGAGTTGCCTGATGCCCTTTCAGAAGATAATCTTACAAAATAATATTGTGTATGATAATACAAGGGCGTGAGAGTAGCTCAATGTAATTTAATTGTAATGTAATGATACATCAACATATTTGCTGTTTTCCAGTCTGTGTTTAGGTGCAAATCTTACTGATAACTAAACATTTACTTAAGAAGCCTCTGTGTGTCTGGACAAGTGTGAGTGGAGAGGCATGCCTGACATAGAGGGAATGCCAGACTATCACTGTGGGAAGCCTGCTGGACACGGATGGGCGGGCACACACACACACACACACACACACACACACACACACACACACACACACACCACTTCAGGGGACATTACATTGACTTACATGCATTTCCTGGAGACTTATCCTAACCTTAACCATAACCAACACATGCCTAACCCTAACCCTTAACCTAAACCTAACCAAGTCTTCACCCTAAAATTAATGATTCCCCTCATGGGGACCTCCAATTTGTCCCCATAAGGGAGGCGAGTCCCCACACGTGACTGTGTAAACAGATGTAGGTCCCCACAAGTATCATAATGCTAACACACACACACACACACACACACACACACACACACACACACACACACACACACACACACACACACACACACACACACACACACACACACACACAACACCACACACACACACACACACACACACACACACACACACACACACACCACACACACACACACACACACACACACACACACACACACACACACACACACACACACACACACACACACACACACACACACACACACACACACACACACACACACACACACACACCTTTAGTCCTCAGACAAAACCCTAGAAACAATCCTTAAAACCAGCAGAGGAAAAGGGCAGAGTGTCCTTAGACAAACACATATGTTTTCTGGCTCCTAATGGGGAGGATATGGGAAGAGGCTATTTGTTGGGAGGCGAATAGACTTAGTGTGGTCCAGGGTTTAGCCAGGGGAGTTTAGCCTTCACTGACCTCTGAGCGGGAACAAAAAAAGCCACGTTGATTAAGAGCGCCATTTTATTCAGGAGGTGAATCAAAAGAAACAAGCTTGTTAATATGGAAAACCAATTAAGAGGCAGAGTGCTTGAGAATCTCCAAGAGAGGGGAGAGAGGGGGAGGTTAGAGGGGGGGGGGGGGGGGCAGAGAAGAGGGAGCTGTGCATAACCTATTGTTAGAATTAGTTCAAAATCACCAGTTTGGTGTTTATGACTAAATCACAGTTTTGCAGCCAAAGAGAGAATGAAGGACACACACACACACACACACACACACACACACACACACACACACACACACACACACACACACACACACACACACACACACACACACACACACACACACACACACACACACACACACACACACACACACACACACACACACACACACACACACACACACACACACACACACACACACACACACACACACACACACACACACACACACACACACACACACACACACACACACACACACACACACACACACACACACACACACACACGTTCGCAGAGCGTGTGTGAGGCCAAGGGGATGTTGGGAAGAATGGAGGGATGTCACGCTTTGTTTTTCTGCCTGTTGATTCTGAATGTAACCAATTAGCGAAGCAGAGAGACACAGAGTGTGGGAGTTGAGGAGGAGGGTGAGGGGGGGGGTCCAATCCCTTTCACCGTGAGAGTCTGTGGCCAAGCTTTGAGTCAGAGAGGGAGGGGTGAAAGAAAAAAAAATGGGGCAGGGTACAACATAATGAACATAATGACAAACAAAAGAACTTTTCAGTCATTTGTGGTCGCTTTCCTCTGACCCCCCAACTCAGTTTGACGACTGGATACTGAACCGCTCAAAGTCCAGGGTGTGTTTCTCTTTTTAATGATCTCTCCAAAAATGCATGTATTTATCTACTTTTATATTACATTTAAAACATTGAAACTCTCCAAAACAGAGTTGGGTGGTGTGACTGGTATTGACAGCAGGTCCAGTGGTGGAGATATGACCATTTGATAAGAAGACATGCAGATTAGATAAGTGATAACGGAAGAGTTAAAGGTTTTCAAAACACAGATATGAACTCTTTCCAACAACACCATTGTTTTTTTTTGCAGCAGGATACTTGGAAGAGACCCTTGCCAAATAAACAAAGGAGAGGTTGTGCTTACTTTAAGGATAAGACCAGAGATTTTATTTGTGTTCTGATGGCCAACTAATCAAATAAAAAGACTTCAGCATTGTTAGTTTTCCTCTTAATAATTTCAGATTTTTCTAGATTGTTTTCTTATGACAGGAATCTTTAAAACAAATCACAAATATAATGTTACTTTTTTTAAATAAGGCTTCATAATTTAAGTTTTAATAAGAAAATATAAGATCATTTTCTACTAGTTTTAGGTCAAAATAGACATATTAATGTACACGTGTGCGTGTGCTAGGGCTGAACGATTAATCGATTTTAAATCGAAATCGTGATTTGAAATGATGTGATTATCAAATCGCAAAGCCTGCGATTCTTTTTTACTTTTTTGTTTTACATTTTGTTGTTGTTGTTGTTCTTGTGTGTCAGTCAGCACCACCAATCGGAAGTGCTGTGCTCCACATGTACCAGCCATTGGTCAGACAAACCAATCAGAAGTGCCCATGATAGAAGGTGATAGACGGATTGATCACCTGCCAAGTATTTTTGAAAGTGCCTGCCCTTTCCCAATGGCTTCCAATGGAGCTCTCCTAGATGGTTTGGTGAAACAAACCATCTGGGTAAGGTTAGTAATGCTCCATCACATGTTTCTATTACAGGGTGAATCTTAAACTGAAGCTTGACTTTAAAAGCAACCCAACGGAAGTTTCATTTAAGTGTAGTTCTTTCACTCGTAGCTCGGGCTGCGGGGGTGCTAGAGACTAGTGTTGCACGCCACGGTGTACCGATACTTGAAAGGTACCGCGATACCCTGCCGTTAAAAACGGTACGATTCCTCCGTTTCATTGGTATCGGTACTTTAAGAATGACGGGGAAAAGTACTCCGGTGAGAAAGCGCCGTTTTAATAAGAGCCGTGTGTGTTCAGCGCTCTGCTTCCACTCTCCCTGCACTGCAGCCGTGCCTGCAGTCCCGCCCCTCTCAAGCACGTTCTAAGTCCCTCCCCTCTCTCGTGCACGCGGCCACGCGCTAGCTGCCAGAGCATGTGAGAAAACGAGAAGCATGGCTGCAAGTGGGAGTGCAGCTGCCGCTGCGCCTCGGCTTGTTGACACAAAAGACGCCAGAAGCGACATTTGGAAGTATTTGAGCTATATCTCTGACAGTGAGGGCAAGCCTACGGACACCACGAGGCCTGTCTGTGAGACATGTTTCAGATCCCTGCAAACCAAGGGAGCCAACACATCAAACTTGGCTAAGCACCCGCCGACTGGAATCCAGAGCTGTTTAAATAATTTAAAGACAGACAGGTTAGCGAATGTGATAGATAACATAATTACATCATGCTCAAACCCTCAAATCCAAGTCAAACAAGTGTAATTTATTTTGTGACAAACGAACGTTTTCGTAGTTTGACGAGGCAATTAATGGCAATGATAACTGTCTAATATGGCTAACTTTTTAGCTAACTTACCAATGTGGCTAACATCTGCAATATACATTTAGTCAATAATTATTTATATTACTGTACTATTACATGTTAATATAATATAAAAAAAATTATATTTTATAAAACAAAAAAGTTGTTTGAGATGAGGCTTAATTGTATTTAATACGAATCATTGTCATTTATTTTGTTTATTGTTCTCATTGTTTAAAAGTTTGTGTTATGGTTATGGTTCTGGTGTGAAATAAAGCACAATAATTACATTTAAGACTGTTTCCCTTTTTTTAAGAAAAGTATCGAAAAAGAATCGGAATCGCAATTCTTGACTTGGTATCTGTATCGAAACCAAAATGTTGGTATCGTGACAACACTACTAGAGACTGGAACATGTTGATGCGACCTTCCTAGCCGGAGATATGGCCGCGTCACAAAAATCGCGATCAACGTCTTGCTAGTGCGTTGCATGATGGTTAGTCATTTTGTCCGACTTGCTCTGGAGGCCCGCCCACATGAGACTTTGAAATTTCGCGGGACAAAGACGCCCGCAGCCTTGAGAGCAAGGCGAGGCGAGTTGGCGCAGTTGCTCTCCACGGGCTGCGGAAGCGAAATGCTTGATGGGAAACGGCTCGCTGGTATCTCGAAAAAAATTTGAATTTTTTTCCCCAAAATCGTGCAGCCCTAGCGTGTGCGTTGTGTGTGTGTGTGTGTGTGTGTGTGTGTGTGTGTGTGTGTGTGTGTGTGTGTGTGTGTGTGTGTGTGTGTGTGTGTGTGTGTGTGTGTGTGTGTGTGTGTGTGTGTGTGTGTGTGTGTGTGTGTGTGTATGTACCTGCTGCAGGTCAGCCATGGAGTACAGGTGGATGTGCTGTAGCAGGTATTCCCTGGGAAAGATCCTGAAAAAAGAGAGACACGAAACGTTTGAATGCATCTTTCTAAGGGTAGCAGGTCATGGGTTTTACCTGTCAGTATTGAGATTATCAAGAGGCTCAATCTTGCAAATATATAAATAACCGTAGTTAAATATCAGCATTAGACTGATTTAATGTTTAACCACAATTACTGTCCATGCTGCTAAACAAAGTTATAATATTAATTCAGTCACACTCCATCTTCCAACATGACATGCATTATTGGACCCCAATGTGTGTGTGTGTGTGTGTGTGTGTGTGTGTGTGTGTGTGTGTGTGTGTGTGTGTGTGTGTGTGTGTGTGTGTGTGTGTGTGACGAGACCTCCTCTCAGACCACTAAGATGGATGGCACCATGTTAAATCCTGTCTAAGCTGTGGTGAGTGTCACCAAAACACAAGTATGTGCATGTATTCATATGTGAGAGAACTGTGTGTGTGTGTGTGTATGTATATGTATGTGTCAGATCCAGACACCTCATGGTGATAGGCACCACTGATAAACTACTATTTGGTTCGTTACCAATGGTTACCACATCAGCATTCATAAGACCACACACACACACGGTACAATAGTCAAACACACACTGGTTCCTTGTTGATCGTGTAGTTGGTGAACACACCTTTAAAGTAAATTGATAAAAGTACTTGTGAACCAACATATTTTAGGGATTAGATTACAAACAGAAGATACACACATTGATGCAAATATGCAAACACACACAGACAAACACATGCCAACAAATGAAAATATTTGTTCTAATAGTCCTGATAGTATTTCATTTTTTTTTATTTCACTAACCTCTGAGTATTTCTACTGCAGCAGACACACCTTTGATAGTATTCTGTTATCACTCAGTGATTATGATCGTATACTGAAGGAGGGTCTGACTGAGTGTGTGAACAGCTAATGTAGGAAGTCTGTGTGTGTGTGTGTGTTTATAAACTTAACACATTACAATCTATTGCAAACCAAGACCAAATCTTATCTTGGTGTTGAGTTGACACAGTGTCACAGAGCGATGACACAACATTTTTAACTGCTGCACGGGACCTAAGAAACAGTGCTCTCTAACTGACGTCCTTTAGCGCTTTCTGCATGTACGCAGCAGACATCTCTCTTCAGATTCCCCCTGAAGGAGACTGATGAGCAGGGAAAGGTTTTAGCGCCACGGCCCTCATCAATCCTGCAGTGTTTGGAAGTGGCGGGGCACTAGCCGGCACTTGCTAATGGGACAAAAGTAAACACAGAACGACATGATGCTGCTCGTCTCTGTGTTGCAACAGCAGTACGACTCATGTGGGAAATTTCTTCGGCCAAGAAAATACCAAGAGTTCCGGTTTGAAAGTACTTGGCAAGCCAGAGAAAAACAGTAGTGGGACTTTAAAAAATCTATATGAAGACCAAGAGTAATGAGCTCTTTTAATCATTTTGGGATGCCTTTTATTGACAATCTGTGTGTGTATAATTTCTGCATCTGTTGCCTATAACATATTGTCTTTTGCCCATCATGTTTAACTGCTTGATTAATGAGGGACATATAAGCATATTTACTAAAGGGAATTAACAGTAGAAAAAAACACAAATACCAGAAATAGTCAACATTAAACTATCCTGAGTATTAATCAGATTCCAGCCTGTCTGCTGAGGTGATTCTTCTCCAGTAGAACATCTTAGATGAGTGTATTAGTGACCTAGAGCAGGGCAAGGATCATCCATCTCCTCTGAGGGGAAGCTTTCAGTGTGGGACCACACTCAGATAAACAGTTGTCCCCCTGACCATCACACATGAACTTATACACACACAGGCACACATCTTTCATGTATATGCAGCATATATACACACAGGAATGCATGCAGATAAATGTTATGTCAATATACATGCAGGCACTCAGACACGTAAACACAGATCATACAGGGAGATGTTAGCAATCTCAATCAATCAGTCATGTTTAACAAGCTGATGACACAGGCATGTTAATCATACAGTAGTAGCTGATATGCCCCAACTTTATAAAAGGGATTGATAGCTCCTCGTTTACTGTCAGTACGAGTTCCATGACGTGTATATCTATTTATAGTATACCCGTAGTTATTTGGCCTAAATAAGATTGCGATTTCACTCATTCATATGTTTTTGTTTGATTTGTCCTTTTATTAGTAGAATTACGGAATAAATACTAGCCCGATTAGCATGAAATGGGTGAATGGACTTGAATACTGGGTTTGATACATGTTTTTATTTTTCATTAATGGCAACAGCCTGGGAAGAGGTCTTTGCTATCCTTATGTCCTTCTAGTTTGTTTTATTTACACATCAAATTGTGTTCAGTTGTACTAGTGTCTCAGCCCTTTGAATTTTTGGATTTGAACTGCTCATAACTTTAGCCATTTGAACATGATGATGGTTTGCAAATAGACATTGCTTCATATAAAGAATAGGTTAGGAAACAGTGCTCAAAATTACAAAAGAGTTTGTTGTTTTGTAACCCCTCCCTCACCATTACAACAGACTTCACTGCCGGCCTACCTTCGTCTGAGGTCCTCGGCGATGGTTGCCCGGCAGCTGAACAGGTAGGCTCTTAGCGACTGGAGCTGCTGCCGGAGCCGCAGCACGGTGCTGAGCGGCTCGCAGTGCTCGTACAGACACGGGTTGAGCTGCTGCACGTCCAGCAGGGGCTCCTCGTACACAAACTCCAGGAACTCCTTGGCCTGTTTGGACACCTGCAGGAGCAACACAGAGGAAACATCATCAGATATGTCAGGGATAACACTCGAGAAGTGTATGTTCCATGATTGTTAAGGACAATGTGGGGCTAAGAATCCGTACAAATCTAAATCTCTCCGGTCAAAATAATTTCCCTTTAGCGCAATACCGCATCAGTTGCGCCACTTATGTGACAGACAAAAGAGTATATGACAGACAAGAATAGTCAATTCTAATGTCTAACACAAGCGGCAAACTGTGGGGTAGAGCCGGGAAGCCAATACGGAAGTGCCACACACTGCAGTTCATATATTGGCCGATAGGCGAGGGCTGCAGAAAGGAGCAATTTCCATAGACAACCATGTTAAAATGCCCAACTTTACAGCATAAAAAAACATGTTTCTACCCCTGGCTCCATACATTTTATTATCGATATAGTTAGATTCCACCTTCATGATTATGGATCTGTGAGTGAATTGTTTTCTAACGCGACCCTTTTATTTATATTAGGTCTTAAAGTTTGTGCATAAATTAGGGCGTGGTCACATTGAGTGACGGCTCTGTCAAGTGCCTGCCGCTGTTAGCTTCTTGTCTCTCTGCTAGCTGCTCCGTGAAGCTAGCTACAGGGACTCTGCCTGCTCAGCTCATCCAGGAAACACAACTTGTAGCCGGCCGTGGTTGTTTGTTCTTCTTGCTTATATATCGGACTATTGTGACTCGCTCTGCGGTTAAAACAGACGGTGCATGAATGCAGTTTTGCGGTAAGTGAAATTCTAGTGCTTTATTTATGTGTTAATGATTTTAATCAGCTACGTAATGAATGGTAAGGCTTGGGTTAGCATGTAAGCTAGTGGTATCTACATCGGTGCTAACGATTGTAATCGTAGCCTCCAAGTTAAAATCATAGACTGTATATATAAAGGTTAAAACGAAATAGACAAGTGTTAAGTGGGATAATACTGTTGAACAAACGGCTTCTGTTTGAGGTTGATAAAATAAGGTTACATCCTTGTAACTTAGAGATATTTTATTATGTAGGTAGAACTGTATGCATCTAAGGTTAATTTAAATTGGCTATGCTCAAGTATGTAGACAAGCTAATGTCGAAGTAGTGTATGTGAAATCAACCTCACAATAAGATGTGTGTATATTACAATTATTAATGTCATATTTCAAGATGATTACTTAGATATTACAATATGGTTGGTTGAGCTGGAGTTCATTATTGAGCTTACACGTTAACGTCACAGTCATCTGAAGAACGAACCCAAACCTTGTTGTTTTTATTAATTGTATTACCAAATGGGTATCAAATAAACAGTAAGCATTGGTAACACAACTTCCAAAGTTACAGTAAAATAAAAAGGCCCCTGACTCGGACAATACACAATCCAACATGTTCAACAGAAAATAATCAGTTATATTGTTTGTACACATGGTACTTTACATATATATCTGTTTGTTTAAGGTGTCCAGGTGATGCAGACAGGCTGGACCAGAGAGTGAGAGACAGAACTGGACTCCTCACAGCAGTGAACTTCAGCACAGGTACAAAGACTCTTTTTTCATACTGTACAAAGAATCAAGAAAGATATTGGTTTAAATGAATGAAGTATTGACTTGAATACACTGATATACATTCCATTAAACAATACTAAATACTAGATCACCTACACATCAGTTAAGTTGAGGGTTTTTTCCATGCAAAAAGTTACATTTAGATGATAACAAGCAATATGACTTTGTCAGCTTTCTAATTTAATGTATTGAAGGCAAAGATATTTAACACATAGTGAGAACTGCTACTATTTATCTCTCAATATTGTCTGTAAAAAACGTGGTAAAAGTTATTCTTTCAGTGAGACAACAGAGCAAGCTTCTACAGTTGCACTACGTTTTGATAACAGTTAAATATTATTTTGATAATAACATATATTTCAATGTTGATGAACTTCATACTGTTCATTCATAATCTGATTGTCTTTGTAGCTCATTGTTGAAATAAAAAAAAAACATTACAATTACAAAATAATTATATCTACAGCCCCTAAACACACAAACACACCGCTTTCATAAATAACACACTTGTTTTGCAATAATATGTTTTATGTTTCCTGTCATTTTTGTTAGGAAAGGACATGCCTGAAAGACACGATATTTTCTCCTTCTCTGAGGGTCAAGAAGAACATCCAAGAGGAACATTAAAAGCTGATGTTATGAGATTTTAAGACCAGTACAGGACATTCACTAAGAAACTACTTTTATTGTAAAAACAGTCAGCTGATCGAATGCAGCTATTTCCACATCTACACTCCATCAGCTGATTATTTCTATTTGCCTCACTTTATGAGCTTCACAACATGTACCTTGTTTTGCAACGTCACAAATAAATGGGGCCAATCTTCAGTCAGATGTGAATGTGTAATCTAACATTTTCAGTAAGAATAATGGACAAAAGGAGTGCAAATACAAATACAATTTATTGAAATGTGAACCAAAAGTTAATCAAATGTTTTAAATATAAAGCACATATGGACAGAAGGTGTAAACCTATTAAATGTATTAAACACATTTAGTCAAATAAAGTGACCGACTAGGCCTGTGCAGTTGGTATCAGCTTTGCCCAGCATGGGCTCCTTCATCAGGCCTGGTCCTCCTCGCAGAGGAAAGACCCTCAGTCCTCTCCAAACCAACAGACAGGACGTCCATCACACGGAGGTTTCTCCCTGAAGTCTCTGCAGCTCTCTGGACACCACGTTGTCTCAATCCGTCCACACTGAATATGAGATTGGGAAAATGAAAATAATAAATGCTTTAGACAATAAGAAACATAAAGTTGACTGTTGAGTTGCTCAGTTTTTTTAGATTGTCAATACTATTACTGTATAACTAATATCTCAGGTTAAGAGGCACATTCAAATAAAGATTGGTCTTTAAATACATTTTGTCTTTTTAATTGTTTGTCTAAAGTCAAGGATCTAGAACTGGTACTTAGTTTTAATGATACAGTCTGGTTATTATGCTGTTTGGAGGAGGCCTTACAGGTAAGAGCACTAACTAGCTACCATCACATGTACCTTAGCTTGACTTAAATGTATTAAACGTATAATTAAGTCATATCAAAATATAAATAACTAATGTCATGCAAACATATTAATATTTGCTTGATTTCAGTGTTGAATTTAGCACAATTGCATACAAACGTTAAGGGGTTTTAAGATTCTGAAGTATTATGCTAAAAGCTCAATAACTTAGATTATTATTTATAGTTTTGCTGAATAGTTTCATGTCCGCTTACCTTAGAAACGTAAAATGCGACGGCAGCGTGCAGATGGGGAGGATGTTAGCTTAGCTTGGTAGCTTCAGCTAGCTCTGGAACTTTCAGCTCGGTGGCAGCAGGTCCCGCCTCGGCTCCGCCTCTTTGCCCTTATTTGGAGCAGGCTGGAGAAGGCGGGAGTTGAACTCTGGCGTCACTGTCGAGCCGTTAGTGGCCGACTCCGCCTACTAAGGGCTTCACGGCAACTCTGCAGAATCCTATGGGTGACGTCACGGACCCTACGTCCATTCATATATACAGTCTATGGTCTAACACTTAATGTGGAGAAAGAGATGTCCTCATGGGTTGATTGTGCGTTGATCTGTTGGTAATGCCTAGGGGTTCCGGTGGGCATGTAAACAAATGCATAATGCTGCGCTATACTTTGTGGCCTCACCCGGTTACATAGCGACGCTTATTGTGTCTTTTAATAAGCAGGTAGTCCTGTCATTAGCTAGAACTAGCTAGATCTGATCGATATGGACATAAACGCGAGTGAAGTCTAATCTGACGGGAGAGAGAGATCAGCTGCTGCTGACGAGTCGACACGCAGCTCTGCATGATCACCTGCAGCGGTGAGCGGACAAAACACACACTTCAGGTTAGAATATCACACGTAGCTATTTTAATTACCTCTCAAACTACCTAAACTAGTTATAGATATGTTTGTTTTTACTGTCGGGTCACTCATTACTGGATCCGCGAGCTGCATGCATGCATCTCTCTCTACTGACGGGCTGTCAGGAGAGAGAGAGAGCGCTCCGTTTATTATTCTGTGTTATTGTAAATTACTGTACACTTTTGAATAATGTAGTTAATCTACTATAATTAGTTTGTTTAATATCGAATCATATCAATTAGTTTTAAAGCTCAATAAATAACAAAGAAGACCTTTGACCAGAACTTTTCTAATTTTGTCCGTAAGATTTAAACTTTAACGGACATTTTGACCGGCAAAAAATATATTCTAACGGGAACTCTGGGTTCTTGTCTGATTTTTTTTGTACCTTTGGCAGAACAAAGCTTTTTCCCTGCTTGTAGTCTTTCTGCTAAAGTAAACGGACAAACTCCTGAGTGTAGCTTCATATTAGAGCGGTAGAAATGAGAAGGGTATTGATTTATGCATCAAGTAAAGTGAAAGTGAGTGAATAATCTCCCAAAATGTCTGAAGCAATCTGCATTAGAACCAGGAACAATACATCATCATTTTAGCAGACATTCAAAAGAGACATTGAAACCAGCCCTGAGCTAAAACTATATAGTGCACTGTACGGCATGTTGATTTAGTTACGACTCAGAAATTATACATATAAATATACAAGAATGATACAAGAATTGCAGTTTGAGAAATGTTGGATTTCAGGAAAATTGAGGATATTAAACTTGTTAACGCTGTGTTTTTTGATGCAGGACTAAAGTAACACTGTCTTTAGGTAAATTAGAACTACTTGACCTCTAGTTAATCTTTTTAATCTGAAGAAAAAAGACCATATGGAATTGATGCTTTAGTTTCCAGGAAGCCCTCTCAATAACTGGAACAGAGTGTCTCCTTAATGATGCAATATTTGATGCACCATTGTACTGAAAGACATTACAAGGTTTTTTTTTTAAGATCCAAATACATTACTGCTGATGTACCAGTCACACCGAATGAGAAATGTGTACTTTCAAAGTTGGTACAAGCAATGAGGATTTGTGTGTGTGTGTGTGTGTGTGTGTGTGTGTGTGTGTGTGTGTGTGTGTGTGTGTGTGTGTGTGTGTGTGTGTGTGTGTGTGTGTGTGTGTGTGTGTGTGTGTGTGTGTGTGTGTGTGTGTTTCCCCACCTTGTGTTTGCTGGTGTCCCAGTTGTGCAGCAGGCGGGCTGGGATGAGGAAGGAGTTGTCCTGATGGCAGCTCTGGCAGTAGTACCAGCCGCTGTAGTAGCAAATCTTTGCTTTTCCTCTGGAGTGACCGACTGGACGCTGACACCCTGAGGAGAAGTCCTTGGGTACGTTTATACCTGGGTTTCATTATATCTTATTATTAAATACATAGATGATGGTTAAGGGTCTCTGAATACCTCTGTAATCATGAGGAAACAAGGTTAACTTTAAAAGAAAGTGTCAAAACTGGGGATCAAATGAATACAAAAACGTCTATCTTAAAGTAGAACAAATATGCATTATCTTGGACACCCTGCAGGTCATCAAATGATGAATTGAGAAATGTGTCATTTTATTGTCCTAAGGTGTTGCACAAGTCATCTTTCGATGCTAACGATGTTCTGGAGCAGAGATCGGGAGATAGCAAAGGTTGTGGAGCAGATAACGCGCCGTTAATATGTGTCAGTTTATTGCCCCTCACTAAATAGCACACTAATCCAAATGAGTAAACCTGTAGATAATAAACAAGATAGTCCACGTTTAAAAAGGAACTCCGACCCCAATAAGGTAGTATGTTGTATCATGACCCACATAAACTGGAAACATGATTTTACTGCAGTGATAACAGAGTAGTAGAGAAATACTTAAAATGAGGTGTTGGTTCTGATCCTGGGCATCAGAGGTTTCTGCCCTGGCTTTCACACATGGCACAACCTCAAAGGTTTGTTTCACAAAAGACATGCCCACAAAGTTTGCAGCTGAGCCCTTTTTAAAAAAATCTGATTGCAATTATCCATGTGGCAAAGTATAAAATGTGGCTGAGGTCATTGCGTACGTTTTGGGGGGTGAGCCAGCCTTAGCCACGTCCTCCCAAACCTCCTGAAGGCAATTGGGAGAGAAAGGAGAGAGGACATTGTAAGCCAAGGAAGAATCATTTGTTTGTTCGTCTATAATAACAATTTGTATTGGTTTTTCTCTCTGAATATGCAAATAATTCACTGCAACTGCGTGTTGATACCTGCGCTGATCTTGAACAGTATTAGCTCATTCGCATAAAAAGAGCCAAATTTTCACCCCATTTAAATTTTAATATGTGAAAACAGCCCCGGTTGCATTTGTCTGGCAGGGCATTTAAAGGTGTATTTCACCCTGTGTTTTGAGAATGACATGCTTTCTCTCAATCTCATGATTGGCTGGCTCTTTACCCAACCTTTTGAGTTTGATAAAACTAAAATAAATCTATAAACCAACGACTAAAACTATATGTCTGTCTCCTATATGTTTGTGGTATAAATCTAAATTCAATCTCAAGTTTATATCCCAGAAACTGCATGTTGTGTTCTTGAGAAATAGTTAAATTATGTTATTTATGCATACAGATGATGAGCAATTTTACCAAGATGTGTTATAAGCAGGAGTTCCAGGAAATACCAACAACTTCGTTTTTGGGGTGTGTTTTAAATATTAGTTTGCGTAGTTATAGCTTTGTTTCTGGGTGATTGTGCAGAGGGTCAGGAAATGTTGGTAAAGAATATAATCCCCTGTATATATATGTCAGTCCTAAACGCAGCGATATTTACTGATTATCTTTCATCTGCTTGTTGAGTGCATTTCCACAATTCATATCCATGTTTGCAGGAATCTACCTGCCAAATTTACTTGAAGGGATTTCTCAGATTGTAGAGTCTAAGTTTTTCCGGTAGTCACAACACACTTCAATAGGAAAGGGTATTTTAGACCTACAACACCAACAGATCCTAAGCTCTACTTAACCCGATAGCTGCTCCACTCTCTGCTTTGTCTTCTCCACACTTTAAAGTTCATCCTTCACCCGGACACACACACACACACACACACACACACACACACACACACACACACACACACACACACACACACACACACACACACACACACACACACACACACACACACACACACACACACACACACACACACGTCCCTTATCCAACTCAATCTCCTAGAGCTTGAGGAAAACAGCATGTGAAGAGGAGCACAGAAGAAAAGAAACTGAAGATGTTTATCTAGGTTTTAAGAAAACAGCAGCATGAAAAGCTACAGACAAGAGGAACGCCAGAGGAAGAGAGGCGTGTGTCAGCGTGTTTGTCAGTAGTCCTTCAACACAAGAAACAACACAGACTGACAAAGGGGGAAAAGGCGGAAGGAGCAAAGCTATCGAGAGATGAGAAGAAGGAAATGCATGAAAGAGAAGAGATGAAGAGCGAGATCAAACAAGACAATAAAGAGAAGTTAGGTCAACTACTTTTCCATCACAAAAGAGGATCTGATGTCTGAAAAAGGCAGACAATGGTCTAATCCAGTGGTTCCCAAACTTTTTCTGTCAGGCCCCCCCCCTTTGGAGAAAAAAAAAAAGTCTGGCCCCCCCAACACAAGTCAGGCTCAGTGATTTATTTTGGGGGTGCTGTGGGGTAGCTTGACGTTTCATAGAGGGTGCTCAAACATTTAGGGTTTCCCATTAATGTACCGGGCGCTACGGTGGAATTTTCTACTGCAACATTCCCCACACACACACACAGTGTACCCGCAACTGTTACAATGAAGGCTCGATAATCAGCTCACGGCATATAGGTGTAAGCATGGGTCAAGTGCTATTTTTATAGGTGGTGTGTGGACCTCACATAGGGGGGTCCGGGGGCAAGCTCCCCCGGGAAGATTTATTTTTAAATATTGAAGTTAAAAGCATCAATCTGGTGCACTTTGAGAGCAACATCTATGGATACCTCTCTCAACACCCATATGAAACAGAACTGTAAACAGATTTACTTTTTCTTTATGGATATTTTACAAATCACCCTTTTAAATTGTATTCTTTTTTTACTGTCATATAGTATTTCATACCTGTTTTTCATTTATTCTCTTATTTTTTTATAGCTATAATGATCATATAAACGTGTGCCTCGGAAATAATTGTTTACATTAATGGTGACCAAAACGTTTGAGACCCACTGAGATAACACTGAGAGTCCTTTAGTTCACTGAGACTCTCAGTCTGACAGGAGAGGACTCTCCTCCACTTTGTTGTTGAAAAAACTCCTTATAAAGAACATATCTAGGATTAAAAGACTAATGTCACAGCAGGATTTGGAAAAACTTGTCCATGCTTTTATCTTCAGTAGACTGGACTACTGCAATGGTGTCTTCACAGGTCTCACTAAAAAATATATTAGAAAGCTGCAGCTGATTCAGAACGCCGCTGCTCGAGTCCTCACTAACACTAAGAAAGTGGATCACATCACTCCTGTTCTGAAGTCTTTACACTGGCTTCCTGTGTGTCAAAGAATAGATTTCAAAATACTGCTGCTGGTTTATAAAGCTTTGAATGGTTTAGGCCCAAAATGCATTTCTGACCTTCTGCTAAATTATGAACCATCCAGATCTCTCAGGTCTTCATGGACTGGTCAGCTTTCTGTCCCCAGAGTCAGAACTAAACACGGTAAAGCAGTGTTTAGTTATTATGCTCCAAATATCTGGAACAAACTCCCAGAAACCTGCAGGTCCGCTGCAACTCTGACTACTTTTAAATCCAGGCTGAAGACTTTTCTTTTTGTCGCTGCTTTTAATTGAACTATTCATATCTTAAACTGCACTGTAACTTTTATCCATGTATTTTTTCTTTTAATGTTTCTTTTATTAGCTTTTCTTTTTAATGACTAATTTTAAATGCCACTTTCTTAATGTCTTTCATTTTTTTAAAGCACTTTGAATTGCCTTGTGTTGAAAAGTGCTATATAAATAAACTTGCCTTGCCTTATATCTGTTAGCGTAGCTCGCTAGCACCAGAAGCTAACAACAACGACCTCCGGTACGCTCGCTCACACACACACACACACACACACACACACACACACACACACACACACACACACACACACACACACACACACACACACACACACACACACACACACACACACACACACACACACACACACACACACACACACACACACACACACACACACACACACACACACACACACACACACACACACACACACACACACACACACACACACACACACACACACACACACACACACACACACACACACACACACACACACACACACACACACACCACACACACACACACACACACACACACACACACACACATACACTAGTACTGTATCATATTATTTTCGAATCAATAATTTTTCTATTATTCTTTATTCTTTTTTTTGAATAACCATTTTTCCTCCTGGTCTCTCGCGGGGCGCGAGTCATGCCTCTGCGCCCCCCACTTTGGGAACCACTGGTCTAATCAACAATGAGAGAGGGATTTCTACTTTAAAGAAAAAGACTGAAGTTGACTGAAGCAGCCGCAGAGACTGATGTAGAGTTGGAACCACTTGGTGATTTATTAAAAGTTTGATTGAGCTTTTGGAAAGAGGAAACAGCTTTAATTAAATCGTCCAAATTGCAGAACCATGGTACGAAACCACAACGACAATTCTGTTTTTTCACAATTTGGGTTTATTATAGTTATAGTTTTTTGCTCATTGATGCAATGACCAATGAATCGGCTGAGCTTTTTTCAAATATATTGGTCACTTTTTAAAGTCAATCAATAAGTAATAAGACATTATGCCAAACATTTCTTAAAAACGGTAAAATAAAAATAGTATCAACATTAAAACAAATATATATATTATATTCATTTACCAGAAAAAACTGACAACCTGATATTCATAGTCTTTATCCCATTTCCCCAGCGGGGAAGTGGGTGGGTGGGGCTTACCTACTCATCATACACATCATATGTCCCAGGTCAATGTAAGCTACAGTAGGTATACCCTACAGTGTGTGAGGGTTGTGACATGGTAAATGGACTGCATTATAAACTACTTTTCATTTCAAACCTTTATTTAACGAGATTGGTCCCATTGAGATCATAGATCTCTTTTTCAAGGGAGTCCTGCAGCATATAGGTTCCACATGAAACATAAAACAATAAAGGACATCGTACATTATAATTTTCCAGTCTTTGCAACCCCTCAAAGCACTTTTACAAGTCAGCATTCAGCCATTCACACAGAGGCAGAGGCTACCATGCTAGATGCTA